CCTTGACGGGATTCGAACCCACGACCTTACGATTGCGAGTCCGAGAGCCTAACCACTAGGCCACCGACGCCACCTCTTTTCATCTATGCAGGCGGTCAATTAAGCTTAAGATTGTCTCAAGGTTGTTCTTTTTGATGTACCCTCTTTAGAAATTAATAACTTTCAGTGTTGTTGGTGTATTAAACGTCCCCTTTAACGATGTAAGGTACTTTAAAAGGCTAGACTCCGAACTGTATGTCCAAATGAGTCTAGACCCTTAAAAATTCCCCCAAACAAACCATGTTCAAGAACGCCCCAACTTTGGCGGATGCTCTGGTGTGGTTTGCTCCTTCTTTCCTGTCAAACATGTATCGTCCTTATCTCTCCTCCTTCTTTTTTTGTATAAAATTGTACTCTCTTGTATCACATCTTTTCTTCGGCACCTATATGACCTTACTGTGTTGCAAGTGCTTTAACATTCGTACGTAAAAAATGGATTCGAACCAGGGCCATCCGCTCCTTAGTCTTGCATGATATCAGCTGATTTTTGAGAGACACCTTCAGCGTTAAGTTACAGTCTGAGGACATTTTTACAGCAGATTGTTTTTCCTAAGAAGAAGCTCATGGCGTTCTGCGGTCTGGTGTGTTATGATAAATAATATTGGTAACTATATGGGTTAATTCTCTCTCCGATCAACGTAGTCAGTTTATTTATTAGATTAAGGCCCATTTCCGATAGGAAAGCTAGGCATGTGGAGAGTGGAGAGACTTGGAAACTCCCAAAACAACCCCAGTTCAAGAAAGGTCAACTACAGCTGAAATTGTGTGCCAAGTCAACCCATTACTGGGGAGAAAAGTGGCTGTCTTACACACTTTTATTGTAATGTTTAAACCTCATTCCCCCTTCCCCGAAAAACAAAGAAAAACGAAACAGAAACAAAAAAGAAAAAACAACAAACAACATGCACACACAAAGACAAAAAAACCCAAACAACAACAACAACAAAACAAACAAACCCAAAACAAAAAGAAAAACCCCCACAAAACCAAGCAAAAACCAGGAAGAGTAGAAATAAGAAGTTTTCGTTTTTAATGGTGATTGTCTTATACAGCTGGCTGTTAAAGCAGGTTCGACTGTTCTGGGGGTTCAAACCATGCTCATTTGTTTCTCATAGTCTAGCATTATGCAAACTGAGCGCCCTTTCAGTGTGCTAACTCTTTGAAGACACCTTGTTTTCGGGTATTCAAATAGCCTAAAAGTATGACTCCCAGCCTTAGTCATACACATTTTTATTTTGCAAAACTTTTATAAAGCAGGCTTCAAAATGCATAATAGGAAATATAGTAATTTGTGAGGCGTGCTGGCAGAAGCAGTTTCTTCTCGCAATCAAAGAATTGAGGCATCGGCAAAAAATCGATACAAGGGTCATAATATCATTTGCAGATTCTAAACCAATGCCATTCTCTTCAAATTTAGCTTGCTTTTTATAATTTCATACTAACAGATTGTAAAAACTCAATCTGTAAATATGACGCATCAATTTCCAGCGGGCATAAATCCGAGAAGTAACTCATTTTGTCAGCACCCCTCAATGTTCATTGTATTCATGTCTCTCATGTCTGAATAAAGGTTCGAAATGTGCAGCAACATAACCTTTGGTCTTCTGCAATTCAGTCTGGAGACTGACCTCTGTCC